CACTGATCTGTGTTGTAAGTGTGATTTATGTATGATTCTAATCGGTTTTTATAGTCAAAATCAGCAAATTTGCCGAGCTCCGCTACGGGAGCGATGACAAGTGAGGCAGGCACGTGCTCTGCCTCTCGTAAACCCACAGTAACTTGCTGGAGCACGGGCACTAATTTAGCGCGGGCACTTATTTTGTGAGCGCGCTCAAGCCAGTTACCATGGGGTGAGGTGAGGCACAGATGAGATCTGCCTCACCTCAGAATGCGTCACCCCACAGAAACTGGCTGGAAAGCGGGCCCTAAGCGCATGCCTGTTACCATCTCACTGTAGGTCACCAATGTAATGTATGTAGATCCCTTTATTACATTTATCCTCGCCATCCATAGTCTCTAAATAACTTATTTCACGTATATATGATATTTAGGCTCGCTGGTCTCAACGGCAATGAAAATGCACCAGGGGAGGCAGCCATAACCTCTGCCGCACTGAAGGGGGCGCACGTGAGCCCACAGGTTCTTGTTGCTACTGTAATTCTACACAGAGACGGTAGACGCAAACAGCAAGCTAGACTTTTGAAACTAGTGGAAGATAAGGAGGACTTTTACAAAAAAGTAATAGAGATTGTTGTCCAGAAGGATAGCATGGACTTCAAGTCAAGGTAAGACCACATTTCTAATGAAAATGGGATCTTACTAAGAAAGAACAATCCAATATTTAGATTTTGGGTATCCTTTTGTTGAACGGTCTGTTTAAAATTAATCGAACCATCAGACTAAAAAAGCTTTTGAAAATAACCGAATATTTCGATTAAGGTCAAAATATAATATTTGTAAATCTGACTCAGTGAGTCAGTGCCTCACCAGCCATGAACCTCACCGCACGTCACTGGTACACACACACACACACACACACACACACACACACACACACACACACACACACACACACAGCTAGAGAGCAGGTACTTTCATGGGAGAAAAAGGTTCCAATTTCTGATTGGCTGGGCGGATTGCAAACCACGCCCCGTAAAACTCCCAAAAGGTTTTGTGAAGCCGGCATTTTATTTGCTCGCATTAGCATTATTAACATTAGCATTAGCCCAGCGCAGAAACGCAGAGAGACTAACTTATGGCAACACAAAAGAAAACATGGGATCGGTGGAGATGAGGAGGTGTCGGCGCTCTGGCGATTTACCCGGGGGACTCCGGGACTTCGGGTGGCAGTATACGCCGTGAAGTTGTTTGCGGCCTGCCAGTAAACCCAAAGCAGAAGAAGAAGTGACGTCAGCGGCTTCATTTGCCTAATCCTCCCTCAGGGACTTATTCAGGTGTGAACGCGATTTACTAAGACAGTTTACGAGACTAAAGAGTTCGGCGGGACTAAGTACTGGGAACTAAGTACGGCAAATATACTTGGTGTGAAAGCGGCTTATGTTACAGAAGTAAACAAAGGAGTCCAATGGAGGCGTTTCAGGCAGGACAGAAACTCCCTCTGGAGGAACACAGGGATGTTAGCCTCTGAGACCATTCACATGCACTAACACCTATATTACACTACAGGGGAGGAACGCCCCAAACAGACAGAACAGGGCCTCTTATGAAAGATTGAAGTAAATTGTTTTCAGCTTCCAGATGTTTACACCAGCTTCAACGTTTCTGCAGAGGAGATGTACGTCTGGAACGTGAATATGTAAGTACCAAACTTTTATTTTATATCACTCTGGGGGGGCTCATGACAGGTTTACCACTTAATTTAAAGGGGACCTATCATGCAAAATGCACTTTTGCACGTCTTTTCTACATGAATATGTGTCCCCGGTGTTCCAGGGAACTCACCAAGTGTCAGAAAACACAACCCTCTCTATTTTCCTCCATACCCAAATCTCTAAAAAAGGGGCTGCAACGGATCTAATAAAAACTGATCCAGATTTGAACACTGTCCTGACGTCAGGACGGTGGCGCTACGGCTATTGGGCCAACTCCACCAATCAGGAGGAGACAGCCACGGCCATTGCCGTTCGAAAGCGCTGGAGACGCTGTAGTACATATGCCAGGCCTGTAGCTGGTGCTGTTCTCACAGAATCAGCCCTTGCAAAAACAGAGCACATTTTTTTCAAATTGAGCGAAATGAGGCATGGCTAAAATGCATGATCTGTTTGGTATTTTGAAAAAAAAAAGTATAAATATGCCTTATATAGGTATGGTCCTACACCATATTATTCAAATATAGCATGATAGGTCCACTTTAATATATTTATTAAATGCTATTATGCTTTGTCGAACCTCACAGTATATATAAATATACAGTTTCTGTCTTCAAGCTAGGTTAATTGATTAAAAACTCAATTATAAAAGTAAATTGTAATGTTTAAGGCAAGTGAATTATAAAAAAAAAAGCTAAAGGGGAAATACTAGTTTACTTTTTATATAAACCATGTTTACCTAGCTAGATTAAGTGAAAAAAAACGGCAATATGTCTTACTTTAAAGGGGACCTACTGTATCATGCAAAATTCACTTTTTCATGTCTTTTATACATAAATATATGTCCCCGGTGTGTCGGGGGACTCACGCAGCCTCAGAAAATAAAACCCTCTCTCTTTTCCTCCGTACTCAAATCTCTAAAAATGAAGCTGATCCAGATTTGCGTCCGATACGACGTAATATCGGAAATGTAGGCTGGCTTTACACTCACGGCCCTATCAGGAAGTTACTATCAGAAACAATGCCCGACTGTTTTGGACGTAATATGGTCGGTGTTTACATTAGCATCTCTAACACTCAGAGCTAACCTGTACTGGAGAGCATGTGTGTGAAGAAGCAGGAAATAAAAAGGAACTCACCTTGTGGTATAACCGGCAAGAGAGAAAGCCTTTGAGCTCCATACTGTTTCAGAAATAATCCTTGATAATCCATGATATGGCGTTTCATCACGGCAGTATTTAGTTTAGACAGTAGCTGCCGGGTCCCGCATGAGCTCCGCCCCTCTTTTTTTTTTTTAAATCAATTTTTTTTTTTTTAAAGTTTTATACCCCAAATCAGCACTTTTGAAACAGGAAGTGAAATAGCGGGATATGAGGCATGGCTAGAATGGGTGATCTGTTTGGTATTTTGAGCAAAACACTTCATAGACATGTTTTTTATATATTTTTATATATCTGAGACCTATGCTATAGCCTAAAAATAGCATGATAGGTGACCTTTAAATAACACAGATGTTTGAAGGGATGCAATGCAAAAAATAAGAAGAGATTAAATCATTAAGAATTATTTATTTATTTATATTATAATTTGTTGTACAATTGTCTTTTGTCATTTGTAATTTGTCACATATGACAGATTCACCTGAAGAAACCGATATCAAGTTCAGAGACACATTTCTGCATCAAACTGCTGGTTATTGAATCATAAGATATCTGAAGCAGCATTACAAATACTAAACTTCATTCTACAGCTGTGATTCCTTTTAGGTTGATAACAACATTTACATTTTCAATCACAATAAATGTTATTGTCCATGTATACAGTACGGAAAACGTCCCAAAGAAACATTGCAACAATGAAAGAATGAAATAGAAGTATTAAATGACTTGCCCGTGGAGAGTAAAACAATATATCCATATCTAAACATAATTCATCAAAAGACCTACAAATATCAGAAAGTTAAACTCATGACTTATAGTGCTATATAGTGTGTCATTATTAACTAGATGTTGATAAAAGGAGAATTGACCGCTTTCATTTGTTAGTTTGGTTGATTTCATGCAGTTTCAGCACGACATACAAAATGAATACATTTCTTAAAAGCCAAGAATTCACAAAAAACATAATCAAACAATCTCATGACATTAAAGCTATAAAAACATGATAATAAAGTATAACAAAATGATAAACTATAAAAAATAAACAAATAATTACTTTTGTTGCACTGAGACTTTGAGTAAAACGTGTAAAACTCTGTAAATAAAACATGATCAAATCTTCTTAACATTTAAAATCTTACAGACTCAAATTAAATTCTGATTATCATCTGTTGTTTTTTACCTTGATTATTTCAAAAGGATCTAGACAGACGAAGTCAGAATAAAGTCTGAACCAACACTCCTGAACATCACAGAGAAATCTCACTTTGACAGATTTTGATATCAGCAGTTTTAGCATCACCAGCTTTTAAAATACTGAAATATGGGAAGAGTTTCTCAGTGAAAGTGTCTCTGTGAGTGCAGATGGGAGTCATGTCTTCAGGGTCGTAGAAGGACACCTCCCCCCTGTCATAGTCCAGCTGGACTCTGATCCTCTGGAGATTCTTCTCCACTCTGACAGTCTTACCATCACCATTAGTGTATTTTCCACTGCGATGTGCTAAACACCAGATTCCATATTTTGGTGAGGCACGTCTCTTTCCCTTCCTGTCAACTGACTCTTTAGTCAAACCTATATTCCAGACAGGATGATCTCCCACCTCCACCTCCCAGCTGTGTTTCCCTGAGCTGAAGCCCTCAGAGCCCAGAACAACAGCATACTGAGTGAATCTCTCTGGATTACCAGGAAGCTGCTGATCTTTGCCTCCACATCTCACACTGGTCAGACCATTAGACAGATAGAGCAGGCGGCTTGCAGTGTTTGGGTCCAGAATGACAGGACTGAAGTGGACCTGGTCCTTCATCTTCTCCCAGACTCTGAAGGACAGGTTGCCCAGGTGTTTGGCCACATCTGTCAGCGCTCCTGAGAGCAGCTGTGGGTCTGACAGTGAGTAAACACATTTACTGTTAAACTTCCAAACATTTCTCAAGTTTTAAATCTCCTCTCTTAAAGCCGTGACATATTTAGAATCGAGCGATTGGCTTTGGTTAAACTTGACAAGGATTATTTTCAGTTTATTGTATTTATCAGGGAAAGCAGTTTTAGTGTCTTGAATTTATTTGATTCATTCCCTGCTCGTTCTTACATTGTATTTATAGTCTTTACCCAGATAAATATATATATGTTTCTGATTCTGAAGAAGGCCAAAATGGTAAAAGCAAAGTCTACAAAGACACTGGTTTGATCACCTTAATAATAACTCTCTCACAAGTCCTGCAGTATAATCCCAGTGTAATTGATCCAGTTGTGTGCTCACTACTTCCCAAACACTTACTATTCACAACTTGTCCAAATTGTTTTAAATAGTATTTATATGTTTGCAAAAATGCATGTGTAAACACCTGGTAACATTGAAGTTTGCTTAAAGTGGACCTATCATGCTATATTATAATAATATAGTGTAGGACCATACCTATATAAGGCATATTTATACTTTTTTTTTTTCAAAATACCAAACAGATCATGCATTTTAGCCATGCCTCATTTTGCTCAATTTGCACTTTTTAGATCTGTTTTAGCAAGGGCAGATTCAGTGAGAACAGCACCATCTACAGGCCTGGCATATGTACTACAGCGTCTCCAGCGCTTTTGAACGGCAATGGCCGTGGCTGTCTCCTCCTGATTGGTGGAGTTGGCCCAATAGCCGTAGCGCTGACGTCAGGACAGTGTTCAAATCTGGATCAGTTTTTATCAGATCCGTTGCAGCCCCTTTTTTAGAGATTTGGGTATGGAGGAAAATAGAGAGGGTTGTGTTTTCTGACACTTGGTGAGTTCCCTGGAACACCGGGGACACATATTCATGTATAAAAGACGTACAAAAGTGCATTTTGCATAATAGGTCCCCTTTAAGTCCAGAGTGCATAAAAAGCTGGTTCTCCTAAATTCAGAACAGACTGATCTGATCTAAATTCAGAGTATCGATCTCAGCTCATGTTGACGTAAAGTAATACTAAGCATCTCTTCATAGGTCAGGTTAACAATAATAATAATAATACACTTTATTTATATAGCCCCGTTCATGCTTGACGCAGCCCAAAGTGCTTTGCAGAGTGTGACAGAAAAGGACAATTACAAATGAGGAACATAATTAAAAAACAAGGTATTAACAAACAGGAAGAGTTATATCACTGAACCATAAAACCCTAAAACATGAACAGTGATACTACAACACAATTCCTATTGCCCCAAATTATAAGCCAAATAAAAAAGATAGGTCTGTAATTTACTTCAAATAATTCAAATTGATGTTGCTGTTCTAAGATCCAATGGCAACAGGATGGTATGTTTGTCTCAGTCCGTCAGCCACAAGCAGTGGTGTCTTTTTTGTGATCTGATCCAAATCTTAAATCTGAATTGAAACTAATACCAAACATCTCTTCATAGGTTCAGGTTAACGGCATGATGCTTTTATGATTGTCTCACACACTGATGAGCTGTGCTGTGTTCTTTTTATTGTGTGTCTTCATGTTTGTGTGTTCCTCCTCCAGGTGATCGAGTACAACCCGTCCCAGTGTCTGGACTGGTTGGCGGTTCAGACTCCGAGGAACAAGCTGGCTCACAGCTGGGTTCTGCAGAACATGGAGAACTGGGTGGAGCGCTTCCTGCTGGCGCACAACTACCCCCGAGTCCGCACATGTGAGAAAGCTCTCTGATAATACTGCAGCTGTTTAATCTGACATTAAGGTTTTATCATTCAGTGGTACACATAAAGGGTCTCTGGGTAGGGTGGGTATGCTATTTGATAACATTTCATTTGATATTTTTGTATTGCTAAATTTACTTCTTATGTTAACATACATAATTGTATATTTGTATTGCATGTTTCTATTTCTTCTTATGATCATATACATATTTTTATCTTTTTTCCTTAATTTATAATATTGTATTTTCATTTATTTTTTATTGCACATGTTTAATTAACTTTTTAGTTTTATTTAAATATTTAAATAATATTTTATTTTACCTTTTACTTAAATATTTCTCCCTAACTTCTTATGTTTAGATGAATAATTTAATTTAATTACATTTTTTATTACACAATTTTACCTAACATTTGATTTTATAAAAATGTACCGTTATTTTATTTGTATTTATCTATTTAATTAATTATTTTTATTGTATTATTTTACTACTAATTATTTGTATTTCATTTGATCTTTCTCTCACACATTTTTATATATTTTAATATCATTTATTTTTGTGGTCCTTTTTACTAAACATTTGTACTTAGCTTCTAATGTTTATACTCATATTATATCTTTTAATTGCACATTTCTATTCAACTTGTGTTTTTTAAATCAAGCATCTGTCACCAGACCATGTTCCCACTGGTATAAATGAAGTATTGATTTGTTCTGACCATGTCTCTATTAGAATCTGAAAGGCTTCCCATATCACATATTAAAGTTCCCTGCCTCTCCCTCCAGCGGCGGCGTACCTCCTGGTCTCCCTGATCCCCAGCAACTCTTTCCGTCAGATGTTCCGCTCCACGCGCTCGCTGCACCTGCCGACCCGCGAGCTGCCGCTGTCGCCCGACACCACGGTGGTTCTGCACCAGGTGTACAACCTGCTGCTGGGGCTGCTGGGCCGCGCCAAGCTGTACGTGGACGCCAGCGTGCACGGCACCACCAAGCTGGTGCAGTACTTCAGCTTCATGACGTACTGCCTCATCTCCAAGACGGAGAAACTCATGTTCTCCGGATACTTCATGGACCTCTGGAACCTCTTCCAGGTACACACAGATATTACCCTTTAAAGAGCAATGTTTCCTCTATCCTGTACTGATACATTACATTATTTTATCTTCTTATTAAACATTTTTACTTGATTTCTTATGTTTATATAAATATTTGTTTTATTTATTTATTTTATTGCACATTTGTTCCTCTATTTTCTTATGTTTATACATTTATTTGTATTTTATAATTTTATGTCTTACACATTTAGCCAACTTGTTATGAATATACCATTTTTTGTATTTTATAAATTTTTGTATTGCCCAACTTTATTGCCCAATATTTGTATTCTATTTTATTTTATCTTTTTAAATGCATATATTTACTTCTTATGTTTGTATAATTATTTTAATTGTATTGGGTCTTTTCCTTCACATTTCACTTTACTTTTCATATAAACACAAATGTTTGTATTTAATTACATTTACTTTTTTGCACATCATCTTAACTTCTTGTGTTTTATATAAATATATATATTTTTTATTAGACATTATTGACTTACCTTATTTTTCATATATTTAGTATTGGATTTTATCCTTTTATTGCACATTTTTTCTTAACCCTATGGTTTTTTTTTAATTCTAAAATGGAGCAGCTGTCATGAAAACCCTTTCCCCCTGGCATCAAAAATAAATCCTCTGCTCCTGCTCGTTGCACTTCTTCCCTAAACATTAGTTTCTCGCCTGCAGCTTCACTCACATTATTTTTCTCTTCTCCGTCTCCAGCCCAAACTCTCGGAGCCGGCCATCGCCACGAACCACAACAAGCAGGCTCTGCTCTCGTTCTGGTACAACATGTGCGTGGACTGTCCGGAGAACGTGCGTCTGGTGGTGCAGAACCCCGTGGTGACGAAGAACATCGCCTTCAACTACATCCTGGCCGACCACGACGACCAGGAGGTGGTGCTGTTCAACCGTGGCATGCTGCCCGCCTACTACGGCATCCTGAGGATGTGCTGCGAGCAGTCGCCAGCGTTCACCCACCAGCTGGCATCGCACCAGAACATCCAGTGGGCCTTCAAGAACCTCACGCCACACGCCAGCCAGTACCCCGGCGTGAGTACAGAGCATCAATCAATCAATCAACAACTTTATTAATCCTGCAAGGGGCAATTAGTTATGAGCAGAGATGGCAAAAGTACACACATCCCACAACACACGTTACTCAAGTAGAAGTACAGATATTCGTGTTTAAAAATACTCTGGTAAAAGTAGAAGTACTGACTAAACTTCTTTACTCAAGTAAAAGTAACGAGGGCTTTGAAATGTACTTCAGTAAAAAGTACCCATAACTAGCAGCTGTTTTAAAGAGTACCTGACCTCCCTTTATATTAATAGAACAATAATGTCATTGTTAGCTAATGAATGTTTCCATGCTGAACAACGGCAACATGACAACGTTTTCATTGGTCCCTCTTCTTTAGAGAAGACCAGGAAATGATGGATACACGGATCGTGTTCAAATCAATAGGCACGCAATGACTCTAAATAATAATGATCACGCCACCAAACACACATTCAAACTAAAGGAACCAGCCTGTTTGGGAAATGTGAGAAGTAGAAAGTACAGGTATTTGGGTTCAACATGTGAGAAGTAGAAAGTACAGGTATTTGTGTTCAACATGTAAGAAGTAGAAAGTACAGGTATTTGTGTTCAAAATGTAAGAAGTAGAAAGTACAGGTATTAGGGTTCAACATGTAAGAAGTAGAAAGTACAGGTATTAGGGTTCAACATGTAAGAAGTAGAAAGTACAGGTATTTGTGTTCAACATGTAAGAAGTAGAAAGTACAGGTATTTGTGTTCAACATGTAAGAAGTAGAAAGTACAGGTATTTGTGTTCAACATGTAAGAAGTAGAAAGTACAGGTATTTGTGTTCAACATGTAAGAAGTATAAAGTACAGGTATTTGGGTTCAAAATGTAAGAAGTAGAAAGTACAGGTATTTGGGTTCAACATGTAAGAAGTAGAAAGTACAGGTATTTGTGTTCAACATGTAAGAAGTAGAAAGTACAGGTATTTGTGTTCAACATGTAAGAAGTAGAAAGTACAGGTATTTGTGTTCAACATGTAAGAAGTATAAAGTACAGGTATTTGGGTTCAAAATGTAAGAAGTAGAAAGTACAGGTATTTGGGTTCAACATGTAAGAAGTAGAAAGTACAGGTATTTGGGTTCAACATGTAAGAAGTAGAAAGTACAGGTATTTGGGTTCAAAATGTAAGAAGTAGAAAGTACAGGTATTTGGGTTCAACATGTAAGAAGTAGAAAGTACAGGTATTTGTGTTCAACATGTAAGAAGTAGAAAGTACAGGTATTTGTGTTCAACATGTAAGAAGTAGAAAGTACAGGTATTTGTGTTCAACATGTAAGAAGTAGAAAGTACAGGTATTTGTGTTCAACATGTAAGAAGTAGAAAGTACAGGTATTTGTGTTCAACATGTAAGAAGTAGAAAGTACAGGTATTTGGGTTCAACATGTAAGAAGTAGAAAGTACAGGTATTTGTGTTCAACATGTTAGAAGTAGAAAGTACAGGTATTTGTGCTCAAAATGTAAGAAGTAGAAAGTACAGGTATTTGTGTTCAACATGTAAGAAGTAGAAAGTACAGGTATTTGTGTTCAACATGTAAGAAGTAGAAAGTACAGGTATTTGTGCTCAAAATGTAAGAAGTAGAAAGTACAGGTATTTGTGTTCAACATGTAAGAAGTAGAAAGTACAGGTATTTGTGTTCAACATGTTAGAAGTAGAAAGTACAGGTATTTGGGTTCAACATGTAAGAAGTAGAAAGTACAGGTATTTGGGTTCAACATGTAAGAAGTAGAAAGTACAGGTATTTGAGTTCAACATGTAAGAAGTAGAAAGTACAGGTATTTGTGTTCAACATGTTAGAAGTAGAAAGTACAGGTATTTGGGTTCAACATGTAAGAAGTAGAAAGTACAGGTATTTGGGTTCAAAATGTAAGAAGTAGAAAGTACAGGTATTTGGGTTCAACATGTAAGAAGTAGAAAGTACAGGTATTTGGGTTCAAAATGTAAGAAGTAGAAAGTAAAAAGTCGTCAGAAAAATAAGTAGTGGACTAAAGTACTGATACCAGAAAAATGTACTTAAGTACATTTAAAATACCCAATATTGTAAATGCTAAACTAAGGTGTGTGCTGCCCCCTGCAGGCGGTGGAGGAGCTGTTCAACCTGATGCAGCTGTTCGTGGCTCAGAGAGCCGACATGAGAGAAGAAGAGCTGGAGGACGTGAAGCAGTTCAAGAAAACAACGATCAGCTGTTACCTTCGCTGCCTGGACGGACGCTCCTGCTGGACCACGCTCATCAGGTACACACACACACACACACACACACACACACACACACACACACACACACACACACACACACACACACCAACACACCAACACAGACACACTCACACAGACTCTCCTCTGCAAGCTACACTCTGTGTCAGTAGTCCTCTGGGATGATGATCTGATTCAATTTTAAGTTTTGCTACAGCGACACCAGTTTGTTTCTGGGAGACATTTTCCCTCTGGAGGGACGAGTGCTGGAGACACTGGGACACAAAATATATGATTTTGTACACAAACAAATGAGTTAGTTTCCCTCTGGTTCGACCCCTGCTCTGTGTTTGTTCCTCTCAGTGCCTTCAGGGTTCTGCTGGAGAACGACGAGGACCGTCTGCTGGTCGTCTTCAACAGAGGACTGATCCTCATGACGGAGGTGAGACGGATCCTCTCTTCCTCAGACGGGGAACACTTCAGAATCAGAGCAGCTAGATTATATAGACATACAACCAAGACTTACACGCACAACTAAGAGACATAAAGTATAAACATTTAGGTACATAACAACACTTTTTCTTTTTACATAAACACTGGAAAATAGTTGGGATTTTTTCCTACCTTTTTTATTTTATAAAAATAGAAATGTAAAAAAGTTTTTAGGGAGAGAATTAAAGTAAGATTTGCTTTTATCATTTATTATCTCTAAACAACAAAATCACTTGTATTCATATTTTAATTCGTACATCCTGTTGAATTCAACTACACTTAAAGTTTAAATATTAAGCTGGCAAAATCAGTTGTTTTGAATTCCTTCTAAAAACACTTTTGCTTTGATGTTGAATCTCTTCATCTCGTATATAAAGCAGCTCGTGAAAACCTTTTTTACATTTGAAGTTTACTATAATAAGAACCAGGTTGAAATAATTTATTAGATATACGAGGCGCCTCAGTGAATCCCTCTGCTGTCTTTAAGAATGTGATTTCCTGTCCTCAGTCGTTCAACACTCTGCACATGATGTACCACGAGGCCACGGCCTGCCACGTCACCGGAGACCTGGTGGAGCTGCTCTCCATCTTCCTCTCCGTGCTCAAAGCCACGCGGCCATACCTGCAGCGCAAAG